GAGGTGCTCCCAGGAGTTGAAGGACTGGAGTTCCGGGGTTCAGACCCACCTGCGTGCAGGTCCAGGAGCCACCACTAACTCCTGTTTGTCCCTGGGCAGCACACTGCACCTCTCAGATTCTGTTCTCTCACGTGGAAGGGGGACCCAAAAACGCCTTTAATATACCTGTTTCCCAGGTAGAGAAGATTAAATCGGATAAAGTTCGTGAAACCTCTGACAGGAGGGCCTGACGTCCAGCTCAGTACAAATAAGTCAAATGTCTTCCCACTGTTCCTTCCGACCCCCTGCCTCTCCAGGCCTTCCCCCGGAACTGAGGCGGGCCCTCTGCGGGCCGGGCAGCGCCTTGGGGGAGAAGGGCGAACCTTGATCGGCCCGGGGTGGGCAGCGCCGGGTGGAAGACGTTTGGTCGGGGCCGCCGGAGCCTCGGGGTCTGCCTGACATCTCCAGGCTTAAATAACCGTGCGCCTTTGTTATTCGTCGGCAGCAAAGTGGTTCGTTACGCCTGATTGGTCTAATTGCTTTGAAATGGGATATATTATCTATAATTATAGAGCTCTAGGAGGAGCCGGCCGGCCTCTGCTTTCATCTTCCCCAAGTGCACCCTCATGTCGCGATCACATTAATTTGGGCCGTTTGAAAGAAGGGCCCCCTCTCTCTCCCGCGGATCTAGACCCCCTCACCCCCTTCCGAATTTAAAGACACCAGGAAGCCCCGGCCGGAGCAAAAAGAACGAAGCCGGTGGGGGAGGGGCGGGCGAGGGAAGGGAACCGGGAGCGGGGCCTGTGGATTTCTCCCTGGCGCCGGTGAAACCCGCCGCGCTCGGGCAGTTCCATCGCCCAAGTTGGGTCCACTGAAGCCGAGGAACTAGCAAGAAGGAGAAAAACTTTTTTTTTTTTACAAATAGCTTTTTTTCTTGACTTTCCATTCAAGGTGACCGAAACTCTTCAAAGGCCTACGTGCTGCCCAGGTCCCGGCAAAGCAAAAGGCATTTTGCCTCGGATCTGTGCTGCGCACCCTCGGCCAGAGGCTGAAGACTCCTTGCCCTCCCTGGAGTTCTCGGCTCTTTAAAGCTGTGAAACCCTCCCGAAGGGTGCCCTCAGTCACTCCCAGACAGCCTCTCAAACCTGCAGCTCCCAGCCGTTCATTCTAAGCAACAGAGGCCAAAGGACTGGAGAACGCGGAGTCTGGAGGCCCCCTCCCCAGGTTTCGGGATCCCGAGGTCGTGCTTTCTGTCTACCCGTCAACCTCCTCCCCCCAGGACAAAATACCTCCTCTCTCTCCCCCTCCGCCGCCCTCCTGGAGATTGGTGAATTCCCACCAAAATAAATCGTTCCGGGTAATCGGTTTTCATAGCACATTCATTCTATTAAAGAGGACTGTTCGGGACTCGCTAATTGCCCGGGGATCCCACTGAGCTGCACATTTTAAAAAATGCACGCGGGATTCCTGGGTCGAGGCCACAAAATGCTTTGGGAAAGGGTGGGGTGGGGGTGGGGGGTAAACAAAAACCCGACAGAGGCCACAGCGAATGCCAAAGTGAGGGGCCGGCCTGTGATCTGTGCAGACTTCCCAGATAGTGACAAAGGTCTGCAAGATAGGATCGTTCTAAATTTTTATTTTTATGGGGTGTGGATGTGGGGAGTCTTAAAAACAACACCACTCTTCCTCTGCCACCGCACCACCTCTTAAAATAAGCGGGTTGGGAGGGGGCACGACTAGTTCAATTGTTCAGAGAGTGGACACAGGACAATCCGTCGTTAGGATTCGAAGTGCCCAGGCGCTTGGTTGGGGGACGGCAGTGCTTTAAGATGCCCGCTGGATGGGGGATGGAGCAAGGAGAAGCGGGAGGGGAGCGGAGCGGAGCGGAGGGCGCGGGAATGGAAGCCGAGCCCAGTCTCGGAGCTTTATCTGCGGCGGGCCAGCCCTGCCCTTGCCAGGCGTGAATTACAGCCGGGCCCTCTCGGCGGCTGCGGCCGCGCGGAGACAGGCTGGGGAGGAGCGCCTGGGGGTTCGTGCTGGCGGCGAGATAACAGGCACAGCCTCCGGCGGTGTCAACTCAAGGAACCCACCAACCTGGAAATCCGAAAAGGCCTAGACAAAAATAAATGCTGGGAGGGCCCCCCCTCACTGCCCCCAAACTTGTGCATCTCCTCCCGCGGGAACAACACACTCCGGGAGACTCGGAGACGGGTTTCTTTTCTCTGGCTCCCATTCCTGGGAACGCGAGCATCTTTATCCGCAGTCCAGTGGCCTATTTGTGGAGGAGGTCGAGCTATTCTGAGCATGGAGTCCACGTGGAGCTGCCTCCGGACCCCTTTCCCCTCTGCAGACACACTCTTGTCGCTTGACATCGCGTGCACCCGCCCAGCCCGCCGCGCCGGACGACAGCAGACACGAACCTAGACCGAACCTAAAAAGATGCCACGGGGTTCGGGCCCGGCCCGGGATGCCTGGGGGCCGGCGGCAGGGCTGGGGGCTGCGGGTGCAGGCGGTTTGCTCCCAGGAGGCGGGGGCGCGACTTCAAGGGCCCCTGCGCCGGCTGCTGCCTTTGATCCAGCCGCCGCTGGCGCCTAAAAACAACATCCTCGTCTGCCTATTAGGCGCGCTGAGGGATCGTGACAGATTGTTTATCCCCGCAATTAGCATGCGGCCCTACTCCGGCCGCCTGGCCCCTGGCCCGCGACCGGCTTCGCTGCACAGGCCGTCCCAGACAGCCCTGAGACCCTTCTGCGCCAGGCGGCCCATCTCGGAGTTCGAGCCCCTGCTCCCCCCTAATGCATGGGTTCTTAACTGGTGACTCCAGGTGTGTCCAGAGTCCCCGAAGTTGTTTTGGCTGATGTGCATTTTTCTAGGGAGAAAGTTCTTAATTACATCGAATCCTCAAAGTGATCCGAAAGTCCAACATTTTGAGATGGGAGACGAAGGCCAAACAAAGCAAGCTCGTTTTTTAAAATGCTGACCTAAAAAGGCAAGAGCCTTCGGTTTCCTCTCCCCCTTTAACCTAAGTGCAGAGTGTAGAGGAGGCTGATCTAGCAACAGTTTAATTGTAAATGTAGCAATAGTTTGCTGTCAGGGCTGGGCTGCTAGCAAGGTGTTCGGCCTACAGCCTTGCTGAGCGTCAGTTCTCTCAACAGTATAATGGGATTATAACGCCTTCCATCCTTCATACCTCCGGGGCTTACCTTCAGGCACACCTCCGGGGCCTTGGTTCCCCTACCTGGAGGAAGGACCCTCTATTTGTCCTTGCCCGCCAGGGGCATGGCGCATTTAAAACAGGCCACTTCGGTGCACCGCGCCTCCAGCTGGGCCCGACGAGAGCTGGAGGCTCCAAACCCAGACCAGTGCTTGTGTTGCAGTCTCGGGTGTGTAAGAAATCTGGAGAGGCACCGTAAATTTCACAGATGCGAGTATTCCTGAGCCCGCCCCATGGCCTTCACATATCTCTGAGTCTGTGGACAGATGTGAGGCTGCTGATCGTCCTGGCGTCCCCAGCCCGACCCCTCCCGCCAGACCCCGGACGCCGTCCGGGTAATAAAGTTCCCGCTCTAGTAATTCATTTTCCTTAATCTGGACGTCCCTAATCTACAGCTTTTATTGCGCCCAGTTAAAAGTCGAGGGAATTCGCTGTCCCTCCGCGCTCGGATAATTACCCCTAAATGGCCGCGGCAGCCCCTGTGTTTCCTGGAGATTAGAACCCCGCAGTCATCAATGGCCGGTCCCGGTGAGCCGCCAATCATTGCCGCTAGCTCTCCGGGAGCCGCTGGCCTGGGCTCCGGGATAAGAGGCCATAAAGCGGCGGCGCAGAAATCGGCCAAGCCCTGACCGGAGTTTGCATAGATCTTATGTCTCCCCACGCCCCCAACTCATTTTCCTCTATTTTTTAACAGCAAAAGTAAAATCACGTTTCCTCCGAAACTGGCAAAGTGACCGTTCTCAAACCCAGTCCCAAGGGTCCACGCCAGGAACTGGCCTCTTTCCCGACCATCTCCCCTAAATGCGCGTCCCCCCCCCCCACACACACAATCTTCTACCCAGAGATAGGGACTGTTATTGTTTCTGTGGATGCTCTATTTGAGGTCACCTTAAGGCCAGATCAGTGTTTTGTTGACGTTTCTGTTGGTTTTATGTAAGTTCCATATCAAACTGACCCCGCAGCTCCTTCCCCCAGCCGGTAGGTCGCCAGTATAGGTGTTGTAATCCTCTCGGGAGAAGTTCAGAGCGGAGAAAGTACACATCACGTATGAAAAGTGACTATTGATTCGGATAATCTCGTGTATTGTTATTCTTAACATCTGCGGCCCCAGGAGCCTGGCTGCTTTAGGCAAACTTCAGTCCAGAGCTGGGAAAGAGACAGAGGCCCATTTTAACGCAGAGGTAAAGTTTTGAAGATTGAAGCAAAGGAAGAAAATAAAGGAGTTTTAAAAAGCAAGAAATATTATTATGGCTTTCTACTAGAATAAATAACTGCAGATTTTTAAGCCATAAAAGGAATATGTAAGAAATGACCTCAACTCAGACTATCGTGGTTGGGAAGAGGGGAGACACTGGAGGGGGACAGAGAAACTGACCCAGTAACTGGCTGAAAAGAAAGGTAAGAGAAGCGGTGGAAGAAGCGGAAAAGGGATGAGGGGGGAAAGGAGTGGATAAAAGGGGCGATACGGGACGGGGAGAAGAGGGACAGGCAGAAAAGAAGGAACGAGAACAAGGGACAGTCCCCCAGGAACCCAGAAAAAAATAGGGACCCAAGGGGACCCAGACTGATAGAGGCGGCCGGGGGCGTTAGCGCAGAGGAAAGTTTCTCCAGAACCTCTCTCCTCCCCTCCTCTGCCCTCCAGGGGCCCCGCCCTGCCGCGTGCGCCCCGAGGCCCAGCGCGCCCCGGGGCAAGTCCGCAGGAACGTAGCCCAATGGATCGCGTCGGGCCCGCCCCCTCGCGCGCTGATTGGTCGCTGCCGCGCTGGCCTTGCCTTATTAACAAGTTCTCTGGGAATCGGCGGCCCGACCCGGAGCCGGCTAGTGCGCCCGGGATCTCGGCCTGCGCAGCGGCGCCAGCGGAGAGCCAGGCCCACAGCGCCAGAGCCGGCCTGCTGGGGAGGGGCGGGAGGCGCGCGGGGGAGGGCCCGCCCGGCCAGGGCCCCGGGCGCTCTCAGAGGCCGACCGCGCTCCCAGCCCGCCCGAAGCCCATGCCCGGCGGCTGGCCCGTGCTGAGGCTGGAGGGGGGCCCGGCTCTGCATGGCCCCGGCTGCTGACATGACTTCTTTGCCACTCGGTGTCAAAGTGGAGGACTCTGCCTTCGGCAAGCCAGCGGGGGGCGGCGGGGGCCAGACCCCCAGCACCACCGCGGCCGCGGCGGCAGCCATGGGCGCAGACGAAGAGGGGACCAAGCCCAAAGTGTCCCCTTCACTCCTGCCCTTCAGCGTGGAGGCGCTTATGGCCGACCACAGGAAGCCCGGGGCCAAGGAGAGCGCCCTGGTGGCCTCCGAGGGCGCACAGGCAGCTTGTGGCTCCGGGCAGCCCCTGGGCGCCCGGGCCGGGGCGTTGGGCGTCTCGGACGCGCCGTCCTCGCCGCGGCCGCTCGGCCATTTCTCGGTGGGAGGACTCCTCAAGCTGCCAGAAGATGCGCTCGTCAAAGCTGAAAGCCCTGAGAAGTCCGAGAGGACCCCGTGGATGCAGAACCCCCGCTTCTCCCCGCCCCCAGCCAGTGAGTAGTCAGAACCAGGCAGCTGGGGAGGAGGCCGGGCGGGGATGCGGGGCCCGAGGGCGCCAGGCCGCGCGCCGGCGCCTGCCTGTCTCCGGTGTTGGCGTACCTGCTGCGGGCACCTGGAGCCCGTGCTGTCGGTACAACGGCGAGGAGGTCGGGGTTTGCGCACTCCCCACTTCCACCCAGGAAGATGGTTCGAGACCTGGCTAAGGGCCAGCGCTGAGTCCACTTTCGTGGGCTCCTGGCCTTGGCCAGGCGACCCTGCGTGTGGGACGTTACTTGTAGAGCACGGGTGTCGGAGCAGCCTTTCTTCCTGCCCCCACCAAACCACCACGGGAGTTCCTACCCCCCGCCTGACCCTAAGCCCCGCTGCTTCGCCTTTACCCCAGCGGGTGGGTCCGAGCGGCGCCGACATCTTCCCTGCATGCAGAGTTTCACTTTCCAGTAGCAGAAGAGAAGCCTGGTGTCTTCCCCCCACCCCATTAAAGTATCTCTTCGCCTGAAGGTTCTGGAGCTCTTGCAATCTCCCCCCCACACCCCGCCCCTTTCAAGTTTCAGGCAGATTCTTGGTACTTTGGGTGGGTTAGGGGGAGGGGGACGCTCAGGTCCAGTGGAGGGGGTGGGGCACCAAGTCAATTAGTGGGAGGACCCCCTTTATTCCGGTGGGAAGCGCCCAAACGTTCGCACTGGGCCACTGAAGCGGGCGCAGCCACCACAGGCGCCTTCGGGTTGTTCCAAGGCCTCTCTGCGCCCCGGCTTCTCTGCCCGCGAACAGGCGAGGAGATATTTCAGGAGCACGGGAAATTCCCAAGTTTTCCTCGTTTCCTCCGATTATTTTGCGCGGCATAATAGCAACCCGAATTCAATGGCGTGATGCTGAGGAATGATTTTTATCTGGGGATTCAACGTCTTTGAAAGGCAAGCCCCTCCCTGGGCCTAATGGCCTGAGAAGGTGACCAGTGCTGGGCTGTCGCTGCCTAAAGGAGTGTCCGCCCCTCAGGGGGCTCCGCGGAAATTCAGTTGGGGGGCCAACTGCTTCCCTGACTTTCAGTATCTTCGAATGGGAAAGAAGGGATGTTAACATGAGATTCATTTGACTCACATCCTGGTGGTCTGAGAGCCCAAAGGATCAGTCGGTTTTGTTTGTTTAAGGCATGAAAAATGCATAATTAGTCAAAACCCGCATGGTGAAACATTCGAGATGTGAATTCATTTTATCCCAGAGGGAAGCTGCTGGGTAGGCAAAACGTCCTTTCCCGGACTTGAATTCGGTTAGGGCCTCTGCCCACACCCTAAATTTGGCAGGATCCCCGTTGTCCTGGGCATAGTTTGATCCACGTTTTATCCCGCCACAGCCACTTGGTGTGGCAGGGGTTAGCTCACAGGTGGACCCAGCCCTAGACCTACTCAACCCTCTGCTTGGGTGCTGCTCACTGCCCGTCCTTGAGGTCTGTATAAAGCTAAGGAAAGGACTGCTCTGAACTGTTGATCTCTGCACCTGAGCCACAGGTCAAGGAGAAGCCAGAAGGGGTTGCACAAACCCCCTTCTGCCCTGACCCCTTTTGAGTGACCAGAAGGCCAAGGCACTGAGGGTGGGAGAGGCCCAAGAGACAGTTGAGATAATCATACATCAGAAGAAGCCCGGTTAGAATGAAACCACTCTTCTTACCCGCCCCCCTCTTCCTACCCACCCCCTCACATGGCACTTTATATATTCAAGAGACTTGGCCTAGGTGTGCCCTTCAGGGTGGCCAGCATTGCTCCCCCTGCAGTCTTCGGGGCCTGCCCTCAGAACCCTGTAGGAACTCACTGTTCCAGGGTAAAGGCTGGAATTTGGAGATCTGGATTCTGCCACACAATGGCCTACCTAGCCTAGCGCTGAGCACTTGGTGGGCACAGATCAATGTTCAGCCTGCACACCAAACCAAATGTGGTCTTGGGCCTCTTTCTGCATTTTTCATCAGCCTATTCACATCCACGGCCCCAATGTGCTGGCGGTGGGAGAAGGTCCCGCTGTGACAGGCCTGCCTAGGTGGCCATCTAGCATTCAGGCCAGGTCCCCTCTTCCCAGTTATGTTCCGCGGCGAACGTGGGTATGTTTCACCCGAAAGCTTCCTTCCCTCATTTGCGCAAAGTAGACAAGGAGGTCTACCCTGCAGGGCTGTGGTGGGAGTGGGAGAATATACTTTCCAAGTGCCAACGCTGGGCGCCTGACCCCCCAAAGGAATAGCCAGCATTGTTATCCACTATGACTACTTTTGGGGGCGGACAACGCTCCCGAGCTCTCTTAACCCCCTGCCTCTTTCTCTCTCGGCGCCTTAGGGCGGCTGAGCCCTCCGGCCTGCACCCTGCGGAAGCACAAGACCAACCGCAAGCCACGGACGCCCTTCACCACGGCGCAGCTGCTGGCGCTGGAGCGCAAGTTCCGCCAGAAGCAGTACCTGTCCATTGCGGAGCGCGCGGAGTTCTCCAGCTCGCTCAGCCTCACCGAGACGCAGGTGAAGATCTGGTTCCAGAACCGCCGGGCCAAGGCCAAGAGACTGCAGGAGGCAGAGCTTGAGAAGCTGAAGATGGCCGCCAAGCCCATGCTGCCACCGGCCGCCTTTGGCCTCTCCTTCCCGCTGGGCGGCCCTGCTGCCGTGGCGGCCGCGGCCGGCGCCTCGCTCTATGGTGCCTCTGGCCCCTTCCAGCGTGCGGCACTGCCCGTGGCCCCCGTGGGACTCTACACGGCCCACGTAGGCTACAGCATGTACCACCTGACATAGAGGGCCCCAGGGTCGCCGACCTGTGGCACCAGCTGATCCCTCCAGCCCTGCTCTTCTGCAAGAGCAGGGGCCTTCCCCGGCCAGCTGGCTGTTTGGACCGCCTGGCTCCTTCCCTTTAGCTCCCACACTGCTCTGGTTTCCCAGGTTGCTCCCTGCCTTCTCTCTCCGAAGTCTAATCCTCTCCCCCCAAACGGGACCGGAAGGGAAGGGTTCCTTCTCTTCTTCTAGAATCCAGATCCACACCCTCGTGTTAAAGATGGGGAAACTGAGGCCAGGGAGGTTAAGAAATGGATCTGCCTGGCCCCCAGCAGAGTTAGTGTTTGGATCAGGACTAGAGGCCACTTCCCGGGCATCTCTGCCTCCTGTCCTGACACCAGGCAGGAGAAGCACAGAGAAACCCGTGTTTGAAGATTTTGAAAAGGAGAACAGTGGGAGGGAAGAGCATGTTGGGAGAGATGGACCCTGGTCCTTCCATTGGAACACGTACAACTTTAACAGCAAGGCATTTGCTTTGGGTGGGGGGCACACAGATGTGTTACCAAGGTAGGTTGAAGGGACCTCTCTCTTACCAGTACCAGAAAAAAAAAATTGTAAAGTAAAATTTAAAAATTCTGTTTCTATTTAACAATACATTTGTGTGGCTCTCGAGAATCCCTTTGGAAGGGATTGGGTGTAATATACTGTATATTTGAAATTTTATTATCATTTATATTATAGCTATATTTGTTAAATAAATTAATTTTAAGCTACAAGAAATGATCTCTGGACTGATTTAGTCTTTTATTTGAATTTCACTTCTTGCCGTCTCTTCACACGCAGATTACTCTTCAGTGTTGGGGTAGTTTTATACCAGCAACTTTCAGAGGTGAGGACGTTCAGGGACAGAAGGGGTTGTCTTTTTGAACACATAGGACGGATCTGCATTAGCAAAGTCAAGTGGAGAATTGAAGCAATTACCTAGGATAATTAGGCTCAATTTTCCAATTCACTTTAAGCTGAAATCGACACTTGTTCAGGCGACCCAGAACCGACTCTTTCTTTTTTTCTCCCCTTTTAACCTGTCTATGAAAACAAAGCGAATCACCCAAATGGTTTGACGACTGCAGACAGCTAACCCAGACAATTCCCACCCCCGCAAACCTGTTTTTCCCACAGGAGGCCAGGTGGGGTGGAGGCATGGCTTTGCTTCTCCAAATCCCCGCGCCAGGTTTGTGGAACTAATTTCGAGCTGCCAGACTGTGAGCGCCTTCACACCGCCAATTACAAACCTTAAAAAAAAAAAAAATACTGAAGGCCCAGGGCGACCACCTCATGCCTTTGCGTGTCTTTTGCATGAGCCCTGCCTCCAAACTGTCACAAACCTTGTTTTTCTTTTATATATAAGGTTAAATGCAGGCTTCCAGGAGAATATATTTGAGCAAGCGCCAAGTTTAGCTTGGGGGGAGGGGGGAGGAATTCTGCAAGGATGTTGAAGGAAGAAAATGACCTCTTAGTGGATAAAGCCCACTAGGTTCCGGGCACAGCTCTTCTGTTCTTTCGAGTTGAAGCCCCGGCTTAATTCTCACCAGATCCGCACGAACCTCTCCCCTCCACCCGCCTCCTCCCGCAGTGGCTGGCACCTCCACACCCCACGCAGGACAGCCCCGGGCAGCTTTTTCATCGAGGGGAGCCATTAAGAGGAGAAGCCAGAAGATGAGTGGTTGTTAAAAACTGAAGACCTGGCGTTGGACTTAGGAGGGTGGACCTCTCCACAGATAGGAACGGGGCGCTGTGGAAACCCAGGCTGGGGCGCGCTGCGTAGTTCTAGCCCCAGGGACCCGAGGTCCCCCCTGAGAACTCCAAGAGCAAGCAGGATTTCCCACGCACCCCGAGCTGGTGCTGGACACGTTCCGGGGTACCCCGGAGTCTTCAGCCTCGGTCGCTCCCGCAAATATTCCGTTCCCGCGCCAGGGTCTGCAGTCTGAACTTATCACAACGCCCGTCCTTAAGGGACAAAAATCAAGCTTGCTGTGGAGTGCCAATCTGCGGCACCGGATAGTCTGGGGGAGCCCCTGGCCTCGGCTTCAAAAAGCGCCGCCAGAACCTGAATCTGGGCCTCCTCGTCCCAAAGAGCGCAGCGTTACATCTAAAAGTTTTCAGACGTCTTCGTTGAGAGCTGAGGTACGTGGCAGCTTCTTGCAGACACAGAAATGGTTTTTACCCCCTCTGTAAACTAAGCAACCTGAGTGGTGGCCATACGCAGAACACCCTGGCTCCCTCAAACCTTACGGGTCCCTTTCTGGAACATCCCTGGCCACTCTCCTTTCCTGGGGATAGCATTGAACTTGATGTCAGACAAGCCAGTGTGGTTCATCCCAGCCCTGCCACTGACTACCTCCGGCTCTTCGTCCCTCAGTTTTCTCATCTGCGAAATGGGCCTGGGAATCCCCCCCACCACCACCGCCCCTAGAATTTTACAGAGTTGTCAACGAGCCCTGTTCAGAAGGGCGCCCAGGGCAACTAGGTGGATCTGGATTTTCTCGGTTCACGATGCGTCCGCGGCACCCGAGCGATTTCAGCACTCGTGAAGGGGAATGGTGGGGCTCGATCGGGTGTCACCTCCAGCCGGGGCTCCCTCCTGGCTCCTCCGAGCTTGGCAGTTTAGGGTCCAGGCAAATTCAGAGCAACATAATTGCGGTAATGAGCAAGGGCTCGCGTTCTGCAGACGCGCCGAGGCTCCAGTGAGGCGGTAGCTGCAGGCGAGGCTGGCGCTCCCCCTCCCCCACCCAGGGACTCCGCGGGAGTGGAAGGGGACCCCGCCCTGACTACCTCCATCCCCAGCGCAGGCTTATGGTCCGAGTTTCCTTCCACTTCTATGCTCCCTAGTTTTCTCATTTTTATTTCTTTTCGTTCAGCCCTTTCGTTGCCCCTCTTATTTCTGAATTCCCTCTCTCGACAGGGCGTACGCACAGAAGGTGCGCAGTAAGTCTTTGCTGGATCCGAGCGGCGCGCTGGTGTGGAGCAAGGTCCTGCTGGCGGGACTTGGCTGCAGGGCTCTGGGCTTTTCATCCACCGCGGTCCTTCAAACTCGATTGCTTGTTTATCAAGAGAGGATGGAGTGGGCAGCGGGTTCCCAGGCCCGGTCCTTTACGGATCAATTTCCTTCTCTGGCAGGAAACACCGGATCAATCACCGGGAGTCTCCAGCTACTGGGTCCGCAGGAGGCCTCCTCTGCGCCTCCCAACAATCACAGATTGTTTTTGTTTGTTTGTGTTTTACAAAGGAAGTGACTGCAGTCCAGAGAGGTTACATGATTTTCGCAGGTCACACAGCCAATAAAGGACAGGGCAGGGATTCGAACCCAAAGCCACTCCGGAACCCACGCTTCGCCCCTGCACCGCCCACCTCCCTCTCCTGAGCGTCTCGTAGTGCCAGACTTGCTCGTTGGGGCTGTAAAAGGCCAGCGAAACGCAACAGTCGCTGGAAAACGGCCGGGCCTCGCTCTACGAATTTAACTCCTTCCCGTTCTGACCCGGAGCAAGCGCAGTCCCGTGGGGGAGAGAGGGCATCTCAGCGGCCTTGCACGCCGCCTGCGAAGGCATTTCGTTTTGTTGGGGAGGAGACGGAAGCCCCAGTCTGCAGACCCAGCGTCGGACCGCGCTGGCGGCCCCTGGTGTGGGAGCCCCGGCAGGGATGAGACTACCTGGCGGCAGGGGATCTGGGGCGCGCCTAGCCCCGGGCGTAGCTCGGCAGGGACCCCCCGCCCCGATCTATGAGGCTGGGGTGCGGCCGCTAGAAGCGCCTTGTTTTAGGGTTCATTTCTCTGCTCCCTGACCACGGGGCTGAGGCCCAGGTCGCTTCGGAGGCCCCTGAAGACAGGGGACCTGCAGTGTGGCTCTTACAGCTGTGAAGCTGTGAACGCTTCTGAACCACCCTCGCCAACCCCCAAGCCCCGAACGAGCGATCCCTCGCCGCGGCCCGGAGGTGTGCTGGCCCGGCCCGCCTGCGCCCTGCCTGCAGCCCTCCGGGTACAATGGGAAGCGGCGAGGGGAGGCCACGGCTGCCTTTCAACTTGGCGGCTGGCGCCGGCCTGGCCGGGCCTCTGGGGCCGCGCGGCCTCCCGGCTCCGTCCCCGCCCTCCCAGCCGCTCTCACGGAGGCGCAGCCTGAGGTCTGGAAACACCTTAACCTGCGTCCCCAACCGCCCCCCCCCCCCCACGACCACCAAGTGTCCATTCTCTGGAGCACCTCAGAGCCCCCTCCAGACTCTCAGATTTCCTTCCGCCCCACTGGACAACTCCCCCTTCCGCAGCGCACGCACCCCAGCCCAGGCCTAGGAGGACCCTCTCACCACTCCGGCCTGCCTCCTCCACAGCGCCCTCCCGCGGCCCCACGAGCCCACAGCCCAGGCTCGGCCGTGCCTGCAGGGCCTGACGCTGGACTAGGCTCCCTAGGCGACAGAGAGCACCTACCCGCGCCCACACCCACACGCACACGCACACCACCAACACGTCATCAATGTGTGCATACACAGCACACCTGCATGCACCGCAACACACATCTAACACATACAGAAACAACTCAACACACATGACTGACACCCAACACATCCAAACAACATGCACCATACACACATCACCAGCCACACACGCACAACCAACAAATACACCCCAACACTACCTTCCAAACACGTGCAATGCAACACACATCGCATACACACACACTCAACCACACACAACCTACATAAGCTGCATACTCTGTACACACAAAACTAACACCCGTACCCACAACCAATACACACATCCTAATAAACACACAGCCCATTTATAGAAATGTACACCCTCAAGATCACCACCCTGTAATATCCCTACAGGAGTTTTGCCACCTAGGACTTGGTGACACTGGCAGACGCACTTCTTGGGGGAGAGGACCCAGAGATAGACATTGATTGGGGGCAGATACACCCTGGGAAATGATGTTCTGAGAGAAGCCACTGGAACCCTAGGGGAATGGGCTACCAAGCAGCACAGCGGGCCCTGCAGCTTGCAGTGCGGAGGACGAGGGGTGGGCATGTGGAGTCTCGCTCCCCTGCCTGTGCATGAAGTGGATCCCAAGACCCAGACCTTGCACGGGGAGGCAGCGAGGAGCACCTGAGGGATTGCTGGGAGCTTCCTTACAAGACCTCGAGGTGAGGAGGTGAGCTCTCCTTTCTCCTCTGCAGCCCCCCCCCCCCCCCCGGTCTTGCACCCTGCCTTCCCTGCTTGTGCAGTCTCGGTCTCAGAATGCCTTCCCAGGTGTCAGACCGGGAGCGCCCTGAGCTGGCTGAACGCAGGCCCAGGACCTGGAGTGTCCACTCAGTAACCGCCTGCACAGAGGAGGTGGTGCATCAAGAAGCAGTCATCACGCTGAGGGTTAGACCAGCGAAGGGTCCCCTGCCTGGAGTCTCACCA